AAGCAGCTGGCAGCCGCCACCGTAAGCACGTGACCCGAGTTACCATCACTAGTCACGGAGGAAGTCAAGACCACGTGCCTCTTGACGCGGTACACAGGCCAGCACCACTTCCAAGGCGTTCCTGCCCAACAGTGCATGACCTGAACCTGATCATAAGGAAACACTAGACAGACCCAAACTGAGGACCACCCGATAAAATGACTGGCCTGTACTCTTCAATGGTGCACAGTTGTGAGAGAAAAAGGAAAACTATCCCAGATTACAGGAGGCTAATGCAGGCAAACAACTCAATGACCGTGGACCGATCCTGGACTAGATAAGTGAGTAGCGGCAAAACTCGCAAAATACTGTGTCAGAGTTTGATTTTGATAATTATTCTGTTATGTAAGAGAATGTCTTATGTCTAGGAAATACACACTGAAGCATGTATCTTTTGAAATGTTTCAAGAGAAAACATGTACAGAAATTGTACTGTTTTTCTAACTTTTTTTAAGTCTTAAGTTACTTCAAAATAAGAAAGTAAAAACAGGAGGGACACATTATGAACACATACTAAGTATTAAATAAAAGTTAACTGTAATATTCCCACCCATTTATCCCCGTGCACATAGGAGATTAAAGGAAGCCAATACCTTGGACCCCTCACATGAAGCCAGTCGTACAGCCTAATACAAGAAATTCTGGGACCAACAAATACTGTCCTCGTTTTTTCTACTTCACGATAGTTCCCCTCCAAATGTAGCAGTGATACAATATCCTTTTCCTCCTTCTAATAATGACTAACCATTTCTAATTTCTCAATTACATGATTTAAAAAATGCAAACAAAAATCGTCCGGTGATTCTACTTCCATGAAAACACAGGCAACCGCAATTGAAGAACTGTGTATATTACATTTCCCCGCCTCACCCCTCGTCTGGCCACTATGCTTTTTGGCCAAGCATGTAGCATTTAGACATCTGTGTAGTTACTAGCCCTTTGCCCCTGTCCTGCCATGGGTGGGTTTTAGCCACAGACAGTTATAGCCATGAGTGTGAATGTGATGATGCAAGGTTTACATTACTGATAAAGCATTCACCGCCGACGCAGGCACAGAGATGCTACAGAAACGCACAGCCTTGATTGGCTGCAGTCACGTTTAGCAAAATGACTTCTGCTCTCCCTACCCAGCAAATCCATCAGTGGGGGAACACCACATGGTCAAGCTCTCAAACCCTAAAAGATGGCTGGAGACAGGCCCCCAGAAAGCACATAAGGAGGAATGGCTTTGAAGCCTTCTCATGTGCAAGGTTAAGTGAAAAGAAAGGGTAAGCAGAGAGAAAAAGTAAGGTTCACTGCTCTGAACCTAGTTTCTATGGTCATTGTTAGCAGGTTCTCATTTAGTTTACAGACTGTCTTGTGGTCCAGAAACATCAAATTTCTCATCGCCCCTTACCACATGCCTGGAGTCAGAACTGCCACTTCACAGACAGAAAAATTAAGGCGGAAGAAAATGAAGAATACTCCCCAAACAGTGTCTGTCAGCCAGAGAACCCAGAATGGACCAAATACCCTGCATCCAGGAAGAAAACAAACATCCCTAATATCTACAGTCACCGCACACACAAAATTCATTTTATGTCACTAAATTATCAGGGAAGCCACACGAATCTGTTTCTCTATTTGTTTCCTGATCTAGAGGAGTCGGTCCACCATGGAATCACGTGGCTCCCAACAAATGCTTCACATTGTCCCCGGACCTGAACGTGACGGGCCTGTGCCTCTCTGGCACCAGAGGACAGCTCTGGTGGGCTCCTGGGGCCTCCTGAGAGCCACTACCATGCCAGCCCCTTTCTCTCCCGAATATGAGAATTATGTTGAAGATAAATGCCTATTGGAAGACATCTCTGGATGCTGGTAACCATAAGGAAGGAGAAGCAGAGACTGGTGCTTATGACAATAAATTTCAAATCAACAAGGTTGTGTAAATGCCCAGAATTTAGTCAGCAGGCTGAGTTTTCATGGAAACACTGGTCTATCAATGAACTGTCTGTTTCTGTTTTAGAAACAACAGAGACAAAATTCAAAGGACCAACATCAACAAGCAGGCTCTGAGGAACAAATCTACAGCAGGACCCCAGACCATGACCAACTGGGAGGCATCACTACAGACAGGAAGGAAGCAGCCGAGTCCATATCCACAAAGACAAGTTCAGCCCCGAACAGACGATGATGTGAAGACAGAAATAAGGCCCCCCGGAACGACTTTTAAATCAATTTACAGAAACACTGTAAGAACCTAACACAAGCAAAGATACCCTACAGCAAAGGTCTTTAATGCACATGGTGATTAAAACAAAATTTACTTCCTGGCAGCCAAGCCTACCAAGAAGGCTTGCTCTTTTTTTCTCAAAAAAAAAGAACAGCACCAGTGTTTCAGGAGCCCCAGGGAAGGAGGGATGCTCGCTACTAACAGGAATCCTAGGAACAAGTGTATGCCAAGTATTTGGGCTTCTGGCCAGTGAGAAAGTGCCACATGGCCTTCCTGTGGTCACGTACGCATATGTGTCCGCTGAGTCAGCAAACATTTGCGGGCACATACTATGGACAAGTCACACAGTGGGACTGATGTTCTGCTCAGCATGCCTCCCACAGAACCTCTGGGCAGACGTGGAATGTAGCTGACCATTAACGTGCACCTTAAAACGAGAACAGGACAGGAACACAGCTGGAGAGCCAGAAGAACATTACTATGGGCCACTCTCTTTTCTACAAGTTGTTGAAAGAGCTCATGTTTGTCCTCCCTTTACCCCTCGTGGTGTCACCAAGATTGCCTGGCCACTTTCCATTTGAAGGGATGAATGACGAAAACGAGCCCCGAGATTTAAGTCTAAAATCAAGGAGCAGGTAAGTGACAGAAGACATGGCTGGGAAAAATCACGTCTCCCCAAACTCTAGCTGCTTAGTGTTTACAGGCAAAATGGGATTTGGAATGTACAGCATATTAATGTGTAACAAATAATTTAAATGGTTTTTTAAAGAAAGAAAAAAAAGTCAGAGCCCAAACAGATTCTTCATTTTCTCAAATAGAAGGAAGACCGAAAAGTAAAGCATGGGTTTATGTATGGGGAACTATAGCTGAGTTTAGGATATAAGGCTGAAAGTTGAAATGGTACACGAATCCAAGGCTAAGGAGTTTGGCCTTCATCTGATAGGAACCCTTTTTTTTTTAACTCCTTTTATTCGCTCCTGTGCTTGTTTTTCTTTAATTTTGGGAACCACTTTGGAACAATTAAGAGACATGATCAGAAAGTTCATCTGTGTTGGTAGCGCCTGACACAGAATGGAAAGGAGGGCTGGAGGGAGAACAGTGAGAAATCTCCAACAATTGTCCCGCAGTGTGGCAGAGGGAAACGTGGGGAGGGAGGGAGGAGGTCTCAAATATAAAAATAATGCCAGTGTTCTGAGGTCAGGTGACTGAGAGGGAGACACAGGGCTCGGGGAGGTCAGGTCTGGGAGGGAAGGCGAACCGTTCGGAAACACTGCCCTGCAGAGGCTGGAGAGAGGACCTAGGGGTGTGAAGGCAAAGCCCTGGAGAGCAAGCAGGCCTAGAAAACCCACTCTCAGGGAACGGTTACAGAATGAGAGCTGATGAAACTTCTAGCAAAGACAGCAGAGACAGAAAAAAAAAATGTTCTCTGGGGACACAAACTGCACATGCTAATGGCTTTCTAATGGCTTTTTTAGCTTGGCTGACATTTCAGGTTTCTGATCAAAACACCCCATGCTAGACTCCAGTATCCCCGAGGCTCCTCCTTCAGCCTTTGGGGTGGAGCCCTCAAATACTGGTCGGGGACTTCTACCTGCTGTGCCTCAAACCGAGGCTTTAGCTTCTCTGTGCTGCCCCTTGGGACGTGCTACTCTGATGGACCACCTGCCAAGCCTTCCCTTTTCCTCAGGTCCCACCAACCACCCTTGGCTCAGCTCTCTGTGTTGTTCACCACAGCTGTCCCCCATCCCCAGCCTGGACCCACAGCCCAGCACCCAGCCCACCCCAAAGAATCCTGTTGGTCCAGGAGACCTGCTCAGTGCCTGCACAAGCAGATCACTTCTTAAAGTCTGTTTTGAAAGCAATTCAAAAGCATTAGCTAAATGCATTTTGCTATGTTTTAGAAAAGGCAATGTCTGGAAGTTAACGCTCAAAGTTACTTAACCTAAGCATGATGAGATGCAATCTCTAAGGCATATTTCTTTGATGATTTTATTTATAGAGTAGACAACTCAAGATGTGTTATCAGCTTTTCCTGTATTAACTGTAAAAGGGGAAAAAAGGACATCCCTTTCTAAATCCATGACTACATAAATATTTTTAATTATAAATCGCTAATAAAATTTTAAAAGAAACTATAAACCAAACCGGATGTTAAATTTTTTTAGGTTTCATGCCATAATGGAAGCAGTAATTACAAATAAACAAAACTCTGGATAAATACATAAATAAATATACACAAACATACATACCATTTTAAAAATCTAAAATCTAGAATGGGAAGTTTTTCAGGTAATCATTAACATAACTTAGTTAATAAAAGGTAGACTACAATAGGAGCCATACATCTTTTATAAGGATAAAACCTATATCCCACAGATGCTGAAAATAACCATTAAAAACAAGTTTTGTTTTTCATTTTGTCATTTCAGACTGTTTAAAAAATGGCTGTTCCGTTTCTGTAAAATGCAGGTGAAGGGTATTTTACCTCTTAAATCTCATTACAGTCCCCTCCCCTCTGGCCTTTGAGCAAAGCTGATAAATGAAAAAATGAAAACATTTGAGTTCCACATGTTTCCACACCCAAGCACATAACAGCAAGCTGAGATCCAAAAGGCAAAACTCGGGTGTCTGAAGTTATCACTAAGCAGATAACCTCTAAATAACACATCCTGAGTCCGTGGAAATGTTTTCCCTTCTCCCAACGGGCTCCACTTCCCTGGGGGGCCGCGGGGCCGCGGGCAGCACTCACCTTTTTGGCTCTCTGGGCTATGTCCGGCGTTCTTGTAAGCAGCTTCTCAATCAGGTACTCTCTGTTCTGCAAAACAAACATTCCACACAGTTTAACATCAAATATGATAGTAGAAATTCACAGTGATTTCAAAATAGCAGATTTACTTGGGTTTTTAAACATGTTACCTTGGCTTTCTGGAAGAATTTGCATTTTAAAAGTTCTGCTGCTGTGGGCCTGAAAGATCAATAATAAATTAAAGTTGAAACAATGACCACTCAATAATTACACTGCCTTGATGAAATGACTCAATCCTAGAGTATTTCTGAAGACCAGTTTTAGGAACAGCAAAACCAGAACCTAAATTAATCATGAGCAGCAACTCAATACAATGGTGCCCATTTTCTAGTTCTTTCCAAACATCTCTGCTGCAAGATTCATCAACTCCTATAAGTTAAATATGTGGGGCAGGATCAATTTTCCAGCCTTGTTCCTTACACTTCACTGAGCAAATTCACTGCTTCTAAAAGGTGGCAGACTGACACGTCTGTGAGCTAAATTCCTGTATTTATTAAGAAGCTATACAAGATGCAATATGACCCTGTTACAGAAAACTACAGTCTGTTGTTATTCTGTGACTCCCCAAAAGTAGCAGTTACTGCAAAGGGTCCACATTATCCTGAGCACAAGCTCTGAGTAACCCTGTCTCAAGTGTACACGGAAGACTGTTTTTCAGGGGAGAGTAAATGCGACGTTGATTAATAAAATGCAAATTCACTTAAAAGCATTACTGGATGGGTCTGATGCTATCCTGATGGTGTCACTTAACCTATTCTTCTACCCTCTACCTTCTATCAGCTGAGAGTCAGGTCTCAAGGCTTGATTAGGTTCCAACAAGTCTTTGGGGAAAGAATATTTGATAGATGATATGCTTTACAGCTCTTCCTGAAGCATGTTAGAGGCATACACAGTGAGCTTATTTAACTGGAGTAATGCTAACTTTAACCAATTCATCCCCAGACCCAAGACCTCCCCACTGTAAGAGTGTATTTCCCCCTCTCCCGCTGGCAAGCATTCTGTCCGGCGACACTCTGGCATCGTATGAATATCCTATTCCCCGAGACCTGTCATCCAATAGTTGTAGCATCTCTGCCTTAAAAAATTATTCCACAGGAGGCAAAATACTGATTTTCTACTGCAATCATTCCTTCTATTTGTATTAACTGACATTCTTCCATAGAGAATAGCTTCCTTTATCAAAGTTCTTTCTAAAAAAATGCAGCCATGCAGTAAGAATCAGAAAAATCTACAGTATAGGGCAGTCAGCAAACCAACTGGCCTCATCTCTTCAAAAAGTCAGTGACCAGAGGAGAGGGGACTGTCCTAGACGAAAACAGACTTCAAGAAACAACACCAAATGTGCACGACCCTTGCCAGAATCCTGCATTTGAGGGGGAAAGTGAAGAAGCTACAAAAAGCAATTGGAAATAAAGATAAGTGAATACTCTGGGGTATCAGGCAATTTTAGGAAATTACTGTTCATTTTCTCATGTGTGGAAAAGTACTGCGGTTATGTAGGAACATGTCTTTATTTGTAGAGAATGCAAGCTGAAGTATTAAGTATGTTACTTTCAAACTGTTAGCAAATAAAATGTAGATAAATAGATACAGCAGACACAGAAAATGTGAATAACTGTTGAATCTAAGTGGTGGTATTGAAGTAAACACTGTACTATTTTTTTTTTTTTACCTTTTCTGTACATTTCAAATTTTTCATAATAAAAAGATTTTAGAATGGGGGGAGGGAAGCATTACTGAGTATCACTCAGTATTCTCTCCACGGTGATGACCAGAGGTACAGATAAAATGCTGTACTGAGGGGACGCCAATTTAAGAAGAGTCTTCAGACTTGGAAAGATTGGGATCTGCTGCTCTGGAACTAGGCAACGTCATAAAGTGCGTCACTTTAGAAAGCACGCTAAGTCTACGGGGTCACAAACTTTATTGCTGTGCAAAGAAATTTCCTAGTTTAACTGTTATCACTCTTTTCCTCCATTTCAAGTGGAACACTGGTGACAGGAACCTGACAGAGAGGCCAGGCCACCGTGGTGCCCAGCTGCTAACTGCTACTGGCTTTCGGTAAATAAAGGTCTAATCAACAAGAGGGGCACGTTTTACATTTAGTGTGCCACACACCCCCTCAGCTCATTCAGATTCACAAATTTGTACCTTGTTAGGCACTAGAACTAAACATGACACAACTATTTTACATGATTTAACTCGGGCTGTTATTTCAATGTGCACTCTTGCTGACCTTCAGAATGTTTGTGGCCTCCAGCTAATCCACACTCATCCCTCCATCTCGCAGTGAACATTTAATGAGCATCTACTATTTGTCAGGCCTGATGCCAGGGGCTAGACTTACTACAGTGAATATGACAGACAGAATGACTACCTTTAACAACGTCAAACCTAGCAGAGAGGAGCTCGAGGGCACTGCTAGATGGCAAGAGGGGCCCCGAACAGGCAAACAGTGGCACTGTGTTTGGGTGGAAGCAGCGGGAGAGCCACCACCCTCTCCCCACAGGGAACACGCGGGCCCTTACACTGGGCAAAGCCTGGGGTCATGTCTGGTGCCTCACAACATGAAACAAAATTTAGAAAACCAAGAGGCATACAAAATAACTTCGACTTCATTTTTTTTTAAGTGAAAAGAAACCCAAGAAAATCAAGCCGATTATGCAACTCTAGGCCACCCTCTTCACCTCTGGCCCATACAGTTACAAAAGCCCCCCAGCTAGGCTCTCTGCCACCTCTCTCTCCCATCGCCCACACTGCTCAGAGAGTCAGCGTCTACAGAAAGCCAGTCCTGACCCACCTACTGACGCTTCCGGCCTCCCTTACCTCCGCACCCCAGGGGAACCCCATCCGCCGACTACCTGCATCCTCACCCATCCCTTGCTCTTTCATGACAATACACACGCTGCTTTTCTCGCTTTAAAATGTTTTGTAACCAATGGGCACAGCCTTTGCATCAGTCAAGAGCCAACTGAAATGCCACCCAGCTTCCGCGGCACTTTCCCCGGCTCCTGCAAGTAGAATTCATTGCTCCCTACGTGATGCTCACACACCTACCTACCCACACTCGCATTCTATAATTATCTATTCTCATGTCTCCCTGCCTCGGCCCCACGAGCTTAGAAACTTCTCCAAGACAGGGAACACACAGTATTCATTTCTGTATCCCCAATGCCTGGCGCAGACCAGAAAACTATAGCTCGATTTCATACCATCATCAAACATGGGGTTAAAGTAAGGCTACTTGACTTTTGGACACTCCTGGCCTTCCCACAACTCCTTTGGGGCTGGATTTAGTCAGCACCAAATCCCAAGCATTGATCCAATGCAGTAGGGAACTGGAGAATGCTGCGCTGAAAATGAAAGACTCACGTTCAGAAAACAGGAAGCATTAAGTCTGTGCGCGACGGGGGCACGAAGGTGGAGAGCCAAACGCTTCCCCTTCTCCTTTGCACGGCTGCGTCCTGCCTCCTCCTCCTGCACACTGAGGGGCCAGTGTAGGACCAATGCAGAAAGAAGGCTGGGGGATGCCAGACACACCTTGAGATACAGAGCTGGGAAAATACTTTCCCTTCCCCAGCAAGATCATCTCTGTGGCAAGCAAAACTGTAAAGGGGAAAAGCATGCAGCAGAGAAAACTTTCTCTGTATTCTCTAGTCTTAGCCTTCATCGAAAATATAGAAACACAATGACGTAAGAAATGAGAAATCACTGAAAGAAGCTACATCCCTTTTTATAGGCTTAATATTTATGTTAAATAACAGGCAATTTCTACTCCATACAGAGAAGAACTAAAAAGCAGGTCCTTTGCATGCTCAAATCAGCTCAAGTGCCTACACGCTGGAGTAAAATCCTACATAAGAAAGTTTGACAAAATGAAACTGGAAGAATGAAGAAAATGAGCGAGGGAACAACCGAATAGAAAGTACAGGAAAATACGAGGCACATGCAGCCCATCTGACTTTGGTTGGTGTTTTGTTTGCATGTTTGTTAGTTTGAATTTCATGCTATAGCGACCAGCAGTGCGGGGTTAATGTGGAGCCATCAGCACTGCCTGCCTCTTAGCTACCTGAGTACAAGGGAAGTACCTTTGCAAGCACACTTATGTCATACAGGGCTGCTAACAATTGCCAAGAAATACAATGTAATATAAGTACAAACACTGCTTTACAAGAACAACTAAAATGCTATACCAGCAAGCAAAATAATGGTCCAGACTTTAAAAGATGATTCAGTTTAAAATCCTTAAAAACAATGCAGTGGCCTTTAAGTACCAACATTCTCAGAAGAAAACCTCTTAAAGGATACAGCTAATACATATGAATGAACTAAAGTCCACTGAGACTTAAAATGATTTTCAAAAGAGGAATATGATTCAGTTTAAACAGTCTGACAATTTGCATTATAAATTTCTAACAGCTCATTGACCTCAGGCACAGCTGCATTTTATAATGCCTCCCCTCCCCCAAAAGAAGTATTTAAATTTCATTCATTTCTAATGGACTCATCTGTGCAGCATTCAGCCCTTGCTGCTCCAAGAAAATGCTGGTTCCTTTTATAGTTGCCATCCATGGGAAGTATGTAATCTACAAGACTAAGGCTCATTCTTTTTTCAAGGAATAGCGAAGTGTTCTGTATGTAAATACAAGCAACTCTTCATCTTTGCCAAAGCAGGGCACAGACTCATGAGGCAAAGAGCTCCAGCGTCTCAGCTCCCTCTTATTAGGTAAGTTCCCTGAGCTCTCAAGGTTGACAGAAAGCCCAGCTCCTCCCCAACTAGCCGGAGGGCTCCTGCATATAAGAGCGAATCTGTCTTGGCCACTGTTCCCCTGTGATATGTTTCCATTCATCGCTAAAAAGGTACTCAGCGAGACCAGAGTTTGGGTACCAGTCAACTGTTTTCAGATGATAAGCAGGCGATTTCTGTGCAGGCAACAGAAATAAATATAAATATCGGAAATCTTGCACAAATTAACTCCTCAACCCAGGAGAACCTGGTTTGTCTCTGAAACTCTTTTCAGAGTCCAAAATTATCTCCAAATTGCGAGCTCCTCGTTGTCTCCAGTTGTTCAAGAAAATACCAGAGTATGTACTACACACTAGACACTGTGGATGCAAGATGCAGAGATAAGAGGCACACATTCTCCTTCTAAAACACT